ATTGATAAATTTAATTAAATAATTAATAAATTAATAAATTAATTTTTATTTTTAATATAAATTTATAATAAAAATATTTATTACAATGGGCTAAAAATATAGGTTAAAAAACTAATTGCTATGTTGTCGCTGTCAATTTATTAATATATTATTACAAAAATCAGCAAGAGAATATTATGATAAGGAGATTGGGATGCCAGCTCGGCAAAAAGGTAAAGATATTTTCCCGCAATTGGTATGGGCCCCACCTTTTACTCCTCTCTGCAACAACCCAACTACCCTCATGCTTCTCATGTGCCCAATTTCAGGGAATATTAATCCCCAAAAAGGTAAAAAATGGACTCCGTCTTCTTCCATTTCTTCTTCCTCTAGCTCTTCTTCATCGGAGTTCTAGGGTTTTTTCCTTTCCGGTGGAGACCATGATTACCTGCGATTTCTGCAATGACCAGACTGCGGTGCTCTTCTGTAGGGCTGACTCGGCGAAGCTGTGTCTGTTCTGTGACCAGCACGTGCACTCGGCGAATTTGCTTTCGCGGAAGCACCTCCGGTCGCAGATCTGTGATAACTGCGGTTCCGAGCCGGTTGTGGTTTGTTGCAACACCGACAATTTGCTGCTGTGTCAGGAGTGTGATTCGGACGCGCACGGGAGCTGCTCTGTGTCTGCCGCACATGAGCGGACTCAAGTTGAGGGGTTCTCTGGATGTCCTTCGGCTCTGGAGTTGGCGTCTGCTTGGGGGTTTGATTTGGAGGATGTGAAGTCGGTGAGTCGGTCGCCGATGATGATGGAGAACTGGAGCGGGTGCCAGGATTTCGGGATGCCGATGGAGTCGTGGGCGGGCAAATCGAGTGTGCAAGAGATGACGGTACCGTACCAGAATGTGAGTTGTGCAGAGACAGTGAAGAAACAGAATCCGATCTGCGGGAAGTACAAACAGGTGATATACAAGCAGCTGGTGGAATTGGTGAAGGGTGGTTTTGTTGGAGGTGATGGCGGAGGTGGTGGTTGTGGAGAGAATTCAGTTACCAATGCTGATGCAAATGGAGGCCTTCTGACTCAACAAGAGGCGATGCAGCAACAGGCGCCGTGTACGTCTTTGCTTATGATGCAAACCCAACGAAATGATCGCATTGTCGATGGTAATATGTCGTGGAATGGTAACCAAATTGGGCATACCACTCAGGTACTATTTGCTTTTGTGTGCATTACTTTTCCATCTTTTGTTGCAAATGTCTGGGGAAGGACAAAGGGGGAAGGGAAGGCACTTGGATATTGGTTTGGGTTCCTCTGTTTCATTGAAGTTGTGGGCACTGCAATATTACTGTCAATTGGATCCCTTATATATCCTCTAGTAGGAAAACTTTCTTTTGGCTATGTACAAGTTGGATGGTTTTTCTCAAACATAATTTCCATTGCTGCCGCTTATTTCTTCAAGCTTCTAGTGTTGAAAAGAGCTTGTGTTTTTCATTTGCTCAGCTAACTATAAGTGGGGTTGAAAATTAGTTATTAATTTTCCATATAACCATTGTTTCCAGCATAATATACTAATTGGTTGATCTATAGTTCTATTTTGTGGTAATCAAATAGTGTTTGATAGGATTCAAGTAGTAACTTTTAATTTTGCTACTCTCTTGCAGATATGGGATTTTCATTTAGGACAGTTAAGGGGTCATGAAGAATCTAGCCAACTAGAAGTTGCATATGGAGGAAGTGATGAAGGATTCATGCTTAAGAATTTCAGTGATCTTTTGAAAGACGCATCGATGACTAATACTAAAATGTTGGGAGATATTTTCCACATGAGTCGCCCTGCTCTGCATGAAGATTTAGCTTCATCTAATGTAAGTCCTGATCAAAGCTATATGTGTTTCCAGAATCTATCTAATATTCACGTGGAAGATGCTTTTCTTGCTCCTGAGATGTTTGATTTTAAAGATGTCAAATTAGAGTACATAAGGAAATATTAAAACTCTATTCCTTTAATATATTCACACAAACTTTAGATTCACCCCTTCTTATAGCTCATGGGTTTTTCCATCATTAAGAGATTCAAAATGCACATGGTATTGCTTACCATCATGCAATAGAACAGAGCAGTGATCATTTTTAGCAGTGTGTACTCATGCTGCAATGCAATATAACTTTGGCATCATGTTTTAACCACTGTGCCACATTTCATGGCATGTCCATTATTTTTGTTTTGCATTTTTGCATATTCAAGATACCATTTGGATACCATAGGAAGCATCAACCATTTTGATGTCTTTGATCTTGTAAAGAACGTAAAAGTTATGCACACCTAAGGAAAAACAAAGCAGTGATTGATGATAGTAAAATGATTTTTCTTCATTAAAATGTGAAAGGTTGATTCTTTACATATATGTGAACTTTGATATGGATAGGGTGGGGACTGAATGTTTTTGGTAATTTGTTAAGAAAACACCTGGATTATTGTAGATTAAATTGACATGTTTTGTTACATGGATAGCAGCAAATCCTCTATGCCTGGTTTATGAATGCTTTGCTAACAATATGGATCTATGTTTTGAGAATGCAGATTAACTCAAATAACCTCGTAGCCAGTCAGGGCCCAGCCACATGTGAAAGCAATAACTTACCAATAGGAAGGACCTCATCAGGTCCTGCTTTTGGCAAGCTGAAAGGCTCTAGCAGTTCTAAGGATATTCATTTCATGGAAGAATCTTTCCTTCTGAGAAGTGACTGCACCAGACCAGCAGCACCCAGCAAGGCTGACCTGGAGCTGCTAGCACAGAACAGAGGCAATGCCATGCAGCGTTACAAGGAGAAGAAAAAAACTAGAAGGTATACTTACCTTTTTCATTTTCTAATAATCATCTAATCTTTGTTTTTATCAAACTATATGGGTCCTGAGCATATAACCTGTGTCATTTATAGATATGAGAAACAAATAAGATATGAATCAAGGAAGGCACGAGCTGATACTAGGAAACGAGTGAAGGGTAGATTTGTGAAGTCTAATGAAGCTCCTGATGGTTGAATTTGTACCGAGACATAACCCCCTGCTTCAGTTATTCAGCTATTGTAAATATTTCCAACTTTCCTCCATGGTAAATGTATAATTTAGCATCATTTATTTCTTTCCCATCTTTGCCTCTCTGGTTTCAGCAAACTCCAAGCTTGCCCAAAGCATAAAAGGAAAAATGTTTGCCTGTGTTGGGATAAAGGATGCTTGTGCCTGTTTTGGCATTTTTGTGCTGGATGTGGCAAAAGTAAGGGCGTTAAGGCAGCTGAATCGCATTACTTCCTTTTTGCCTATACAGAGTATAACGATTCTTGTTGCGGCTGAGCTGATGAATTCTAGTTAACTTGCTTCTAGCTTTGAAATTTCTGTTCAATGCCACCTTTGGTGAATTATTTGCTCTTTTAGATATGCCCTGTTTGGCTGCTTTTTTCTGTTGAGTTTGATTAAATGAGGTCCACACTAGGGGCTTCCTTCGGATTAGGTCTAAAGCAAAGTCATTTTATTTGTTTCTACATGGCTCATCAAACTTGAAATATTGAGTAAGTCCTCTACACGAATTAGCCTCTCTGTGCCCACAGCCACATGGTTACACTCCCATTCAATTTTCTATTTCATTTTCACTCATTTCTTTCAATCTAAACATTTAATGACGTAAGAGATCCAACCCTTGGGGTTATGGAAAAGGCAAGAGGTAGAGATATAGTCACAAAGGAATCCACCAATACAATAACTAAGGAAATCTTAACCCCTGATTGATTTGATCCATATGATGATTTATTCAAAGAGGAAGAAGTGGGGCTGGGCACAGTTTGGTTTTGGTTTAACCAAAATCAATATTTAAACTATCCATCTTTTATTTTTTTTTTTATTAACCAGTAACCAAAATAATCAGTTTTAATATTTTGGTTATTAGTTTTAACCAAATTAATATTGAATGCCTATTTCAAGTTCAATAATGACTATAGTTAACCAAAATTTAGAATTTTTAAAGGATATAAATTAACAAAATGCACAAAAAAGGGATGAATAGGAGTAAAATATGAATTTTGAAGTTTATTTTTTTACTTTTGATATATTTTAAATTTGAATACTAAATTATAACAAAATTTATAAGGTAAAACTTGAAAGTGAATAGAATAAGGTGATTTTTATGTTTATTTATAATATTTAAATAATAATTATTTATTTATTTATATAAAATTTTATTTTTTTGTTATATATTAGATTTTGGTTTTTTAATCTTCTGACCGTTAACCAACTAAATTTTTTCAATTATCTAATTAAAATTTTAAAAAATAACCAATAACCATTTATAACTAATCATTTAGTTAATTTTTTTTATCAATTTTCGATTACCCATTTGGTTAACTAACCATTTACCCAACTCTAAAAAATAGAACTAAGAAAAAAGTGTTAGACATAACAGGTTTTTTCGCAGGACAGCTCATAATGTTCATAAGATGTAGAAACAATTAGAAAAATTAGAGAAATGAACAATTGAAAAAGAATAATTGGAATAAAATAAAAATAAAAAAGAGGAAAATTTGAAATCAGAGAAAAAAAAATTTCTCAAAATTTTTCATAGACCTCCCTGAGTAAATAGTCTTTTTTGTGCAATTCCAAATGCAAAATAAATCTTCTTATTCTGTCAGTAAAATTGACTATTTGAGATCCAACTACTTGTTACAACATCTAATGATCGTGTCCTTCGACATCGCGATGCAATTATATTGCATCTTGACTAGGTATGTATATTTCTAGGCTTTTACAGTTGTCTGAGCCTTTGATACATTCATTTAAGTTAGTATACATTGTATGAAGGCGTTAAAAATATTAAAAGTTGTATGATGATTGCTTCATCAAAGATTTGGAGCATCCGGAATCAAATGCCATCTTCATACGATTGTATAATCTAAGATAAAAAGATTTGAGTACACGGTATATCATCTTTATTTCCTTTGAGTATTTCTAATATGTACCATACATTTAAAACTGTTAACTAAGATTTCAGCAACAGAGACCCCACATTTATAAGAGGTAGGCTTCTTAAATGTGGGTGGTCCTCCTTGATGATTATGGTATTTGAATTTGGTATGTGTCAGGTTACAAAATTATTTTTTAGTATGTAAAATAATGGGCCTCAGGTTAGGGTGAGAATATAATCACACCCTAAATAATTAATACTATGTAGTTTTAATGTAATTACATATTATATTTTTACATTACATGTGTTTTTAAAATTTTACATCTTTAATTAACGATTTAAATAACTCAGTGGTGATTTACTTCTATTGAAAGTAAGAGATTTTAAGTTCGAGTCGTATGGTATATATGTATAGTAAAATAAGGGATGAGAGATAGTTGCCTCCTATTGTGGAACCAAGATAAAAAAAAAATTACATTTTTGAATTCTTAATAAATTAAAAAATAAAATAATCAATTAAAATACAAAAATATAACATTAGGGATGAAATAATAACATCAGCCCTCACATCATAAGCCCAAGTTCCCAACATTAACACATCAACGATGATGCTTCGTATTACCTGACTGATGCTCATTATATTGGGCTCTTACCAGCCTGAAGGGGCCTCTCAAGTCCAAGTCCACTCGCAGCAACATCGCCTCATCAATCTCCTCATGTTTTTGAATTGTTCGCCTTAACAATCGAAAAAGACATGACCTGTCTTGGTGTCAAAAAACTCTCAACACTAATCATTAAGAGTTTAGTATTTTATTGTTCAAATTGTATTAAACTAAAAAATAATAATAATTAAATAGAGGAGTTTACACCTATTATTATGAAACTGTTCATCATTTAGTAGTTAATGTTTTGCACCCTCTGTTTTTTTCCAATTACTAAAAATGTTGCACTAATCTGAAGCAAATTTCAACGTCCATCACTTCCTTCTCTCTATTACAAGTCACTAAGAGTGAGCGCGAAATCACTGAGCATGTTATGTATTACAACAAAATTAAATATACGAGGTTTAACGAAGAGTGGGATTAAACCCTGGAACTCTTTTAAAGGAATAGTAATGACTGTTATATAATTAAATCTAGATTACTATCAATTAAAATATTTTACAACCTCAAAGGTTGGATCTATTAGTATGCAAGTATTGTTTTATATATCAAGTTTGAGGTTCTAGTTTTAACACCAACACCTAAGGAATTTTATTTTATTTTATTTTGGATAAAACAACTAAAGAAATTAATTTCTTTAAATATACTAAATCGATATAGTGGCTTGCTTTTGAGGTTGTCTAGAGAAGAATTAGTCTCCAAGATTATTTGTAGAGGAATTAATCTCGAAATATGTTAAAATTAAACTAGAAACAACCTGTATGTATATATATATAAAAGGAAATCAATTAGAGTGAATAAGAATTCTTTACATATAATGGTTTGGTTGAGAATGCTTGATTAATTAATTAATTAAGAACATGCTGTGATTAAGGAAGTAATGATTGCTCTCGTCTACGCCATTGTTTGGTTAATTGGTTTGGTTTCCTTCCATTTGACACCAACAAATCCTCCCCATCTTAAAACTTTTCTAGGAACATATTTAATTTGAAGGTGGAGGGAAAAGCAGAAGGATGGTATGTTGCCTTTATTGTTAACATGTTGGTCAGATTATTATTGAAACCAAAAAGATCCTTTTGACCCTTTTTCTTTGATGGGCAAGATCCTTTTGACTCTTGTTCTTGCTTTACATTATCATGTTCTTCTTCAGGCTATGATCTGAATCTTTCCTTACAAATGGGCTACAGCTACATGGTTTTTCCTTTTTTGTCTTCTAATCAAATTCTTAGGTACTTTTGACTATTGATTTCAAACGTTTAGTTAAATTGAACGGGAAAGAAGCAAATATTTGACATGATATGATAAAGAGGTATGGACTCAGATTCAGTTACAAAAATTTGTAGACTTGGCATTTGTTGAGAATGTGAAATTTGATATATGAGTCAAAACACACAAGATGAGCATTTAATTTTAAATTAATTAATAATAAGTTAAATAACTTATTTTATATTTAATCTACTCATATTCTTTTTACTATTTCAATGTGAATTTTTTTTACTTAACACGCTTTACTCACACACAAGCTAATATAAATTTTAAGATATATTATAAAAACTTAATATATACACTCTTCTCATGTAGGTCTAGTATGTTCTTTGGGTCCAATTTAAGAGAAAAAAAAAAATTGGAAACCATATGGCTGGTACATGAATGGACTGCAATATTTCAAAAGAAATTATGTAGTGTCAACCACTAAAAGTAGCGATAGAAAATGCAAATAAAATATATGACCCTTCGATACTTGTCACGTAAGTTGACACATGCAGGCCAGGTATGACCTTTAAAACTTTTGTCAAGAAGGAAGCTTGCTTTGATACACTAATAACGCAATGAAGGATGAATATCATCTACAATGGACAAGTTTGTACAGCAACGTGAAGTGTGATGCCCTAAACCATGCAAGGCAATAAATAAAACAAATTCAATACAATAAGATATAGATATATGAAATCATGAATTTATTGGTGAGTGATTTTGTTTTTTTAACAAAAATAAGTTTTATGTTTGAATCTACCTAGTTTTAAATTATCTTATAAATATATGAAATTATAAATAGATGATGTTTTTAAGATTAAGACTTAAATTTTTTTTAATCAGCAAAACAAATTGTATTAAAATAGAATATAAACAGTACTCTTACGCATACCCAAATTATGATTAATTTTTACAACAAACTAGACTGGTCTCTCTAAGTTCTATGCTATCAATCTTTCAAAGCTTCCTCGGCAGGTAGCACAGGGAATTGGCACCAACTGCCAAAATCAAAGATTGCCCGTGACTTCTTGGCTTTAATCCAAGCAAAGGACCTTGTCTACATCAACTCAAAAGCCTTCCCTGCGTCCCAAGAGCAGCTTCAAAAAACAATTTCATATGCACCATTCGATACAGATAAACTGAAACCATAAGGCTGGAATTAGCTAGAAGGCACTGCAATGAGTTTGAAAAGAAATCATGCGGTCAAGCAATAAAGTTGCCAGAGAAAATGGAAATCAAAGATATCCGTGTGGAAGTGATTATACAATCAATGGTCCGTATAGAGAAAGCTTTTTTGTCTTTGAAGAAGAAGAAATGTTTGTTCAAACTTTTTCCAATTCCATCATGGAAGGAGGAAAAGGTTGATGCAACGTTGGTGCTTGGCTTAGTCAAGTCACTCCTTTTAAGAAGAAAGTGATGATAATACGTCTAAATCCAATCCTCAAAGGTTCAAAAGTGTTGTTTGTGTCTTCCAACTTTCACCCACTAATCTAACCATGGGCACCAGGGAAGCCCAGCAAGCACATGCAAATGTTCAACTGCCAAAAATGAAGTCAAAACGTTGAAAAGGAATGGACCCAACTTGTAATTACTTGCACCACAAATCTTAAAAGACGAGTTTCACATGTCAATAATCAAATTAAGCACCATTTCCCGCCTCTCTGGGCCTATAACAGTATAACTAACCCAGAAAAGACATTGGACGTCCCTTCCATTTCTCCACTTTTTGAGATCAGAGTATAGCCAAAACATAGTAAAGTCTCCATAACATCTTCAAACTCGAGTTCGAGATGAAAAAGTAAACATACTTGACTTAAAATTTTAACTAGTTGAAATCTACTAAAGAGATGAGCTTAATCAAACTCGAGTATGATATATTGTTAGATAATTAGGAATTCTATTTATTTTTAAAAAGATATAGTTATAATATCATGTGGTGTTATAAGTTAATAATATATTTGTCATAATATAATTATTTTTTTTATTTAGAAATTTATTTATAATATTATATGTATTTACATATTTAATGACACATTATATTTATTTAATGATATTATAATTGTAAGTTTATAATCTAAATTATATAACATTATAACTATATTATTGCTAATTTATTTTCTAACACACCATCTAGTTTTATTTTTTTAATCTTTTATTTTATATATATATTTAAAAAAAAAAAAAAAAAAAAAAAAAAAA